AGTGCCGTTTTGGGTAACATCTGATTGGTTTGGAGTCCTTCGGTACTCGCTGCTCGAAACGGTTCTTGTTGCGATGTTAAATCCTTGCTCAAGAATTCTAGTCAACGTCATATGTCTGTCTGGGTACTGTATCGAGGTAGGTATTCAATTGTGTAGCGTTTTCATGTTTTAATTTACCATCACGTATCCCAGATTTAATTCAGGTGTTGAACATTCCCAAAGCTCTTTAAAAATGATTGCAACATTTTCCAGATATTTCCAGAAGGAGGGGGGGGGAGCTTAAGACAAGTAATACGTAACTCTCGTGCATAATATAAAAGTGCTAGGGCTCACCTCCATACAGACACACTGTTTTTGTTTGGGGAGCTTTAGGTAAACGTTTCTGGGAAAATAAAATAGGTAGGTTTTTGAAAATTTGTACTTAGAAGTTAACTCTGAAAGCCGCATCTATGCAAAATATATTCAAAATGGTCGCACTTCCGTAAATACCGGAAGTAGCTCGTAACTTCGTTATTTTAAATGGCAGCCTCTATTTTTTATTGCATTTTTGGATTCTACGTGAATTTTTAGTTCTTTTGATACCCGCATGCCGATATCTATCTTTGATGGTTTTTAAGTTATTTAGACTGTAAAGAAAAAATGGCGGATGCAGATGGTACCTTGATAATTGTTTACTTGGAAACGGTTATAGTTATGGTAACCCATTTTTATCAGTGCATAGAGAATAAATAGCAAGGTGACCGCGAGTTTTAAAATACGTAAACCGTTGGATTTTAATTAGAATAAATGAATATTGTATTTTACCTTATGAATGAAGTCTCTTGATTCAGTGGGTCGATGTCCTGGTGCTTTGAAATCGGCAACCCTCCGCTATAGTCTCTTCGGATAGATGGAGTCCAGTAACTTGAGTTTTTATTTAGATCGTCACTGCTTCTTGGTCAAATTTAGAAACAAACGCTAGCGATAGAACTCGCAAGCGTTAAACAAAATGCGAGCTTAAGCCTTTGGTCCTTTAATAGCAAGTAGTTCGTGAACACTTTTAACTGCGCGTTACTGTGATTTCACTTTTTAGGAAATTTTCCACTACTTACGGTATATTTGCACGTAATTGATGATGCAATTTCTTTCGCGCTGAGCGATCCGATTAGTTGGCAGTAACTTGAAATACACTCGCCTTAATTTACACTTTGATTGGGTATTACTGGGCTAAAACGGCAATAGTTGAAGCGCCTTTTTAATACTTTGCAACCGTTAAATGGTGCGCGTTAAAAACTTGAGCTTACAATGCGAGTTCCACAACGAATTAATTCGCATTGATAAAAATTACCGTCTTTCTTCGGCCAAATCTTCCCTCTACTCTAAATTTAAACTTACAACAAATGATACGTTTACAAAATCTAATATACATTATATACAGTTAATTACAAAATTTTATTCCTTCACACTCAGGCCAAAAAGCATTATGTGTAATTGAAAATATTCAGTTGCGTACGACCGCACGTAATGAAGATGCAAATTTAAGAAACTTCAAAGACTAAAAACTCAGTTTTTTAAATGGAATGACCATTTTCTTACTATTGCATGAGATAGAGAATCGAAAATGGCATATTTTGATATTACATGTTCCTATAGCTATCTTTAACATTTTCTGACTTATTCAACATTTAATTGACATTTAGATTCTTCAAAAGAAAAATTTTTGGAGTCAAATTAATAATACGTAAATCGTCCTGTATTTTAGGAAAGCGATTCCGCGTTTATATCAACAAGCATAAGTTAACGGACTAATATAGGAGAGATCGTAAACAAAGTGGTAAAAATCAATTAGTAAAGGATTAGATTACACAATTGGCAATTATTTTGTTTCATGCCCGGATGGATTACATGAAAAGCGGCCCTCGCGTTCGGTCAACGGATGATGACCATCACTTTCCCCTCCGATTATCGTATTTTTATTGTTGCGTTTCGGGGTTGATTCGTTTACTCAATCACCCTCGAAATAATTCTCACCTATTTTATAATAATTGGCAATTGGATATAATTTATTCCGAACCCTTTTCTTCATATCGACAGGTTTGAGTTGCACCCTTGTTGTTAACTCGAAACTTAAATGTACAGACATTCGGAAACTTCGCATGTAACATATACATATTGCTTCATATCGAAGTAAGGTTGAATTAGGGTGTAAAGGGATAAGGGATGGGTTGGCATAAATAGTATGAGGTAGGGTCCAGCAGCACGTGCGTGCTAACCACAGTCTAACATCCTCCTACACAACCCTTGTAACGTAAGGAAACAACACAACTACTATATCTAGCTTGGCCAATTATTCTTAACATTTCCACCAAGGTTTGTTTAAGACGTCGTAGAAATGTTGGTTCTTATTTGAAAGGCACTTTTCACATAATAAGGCGATAGATCACCATTTATTAGCTGTGCAACTCAATTATTTATAATTTGGACTTCCGTGAAAGTTTTAAAAGGGCGTCAAAAACTTTGAAACTCCTCCGATTTATTTTCGTATGGGTAATTTTGTGAATATAATAAGAGTAAATTAGTGAATATCCTTAAAAAGTGGGTTATTATCGTCGCGAGAGACTAAAGAGGAATTGTTGAGCAATCTTGTCCATAGGGGAAACTGGTTGGGGGTGCTTTACACTAATAGCATAGCACACACGCACAGAGTGAGATCTGAAATGGAATCAATAATCCACATTAAGCAGTGGGAACAATACTTAATTTGCACATACATTACTAGGTACTCAATACTTTTACTGCACCCTAAGGTAGTTCCATTATGCCTGTAGTTACGAATGCGAAGGTGGAGGTAGGTAATAATAAATGCAATAGGGACGATTAACACTTTAAATAACATTAATTGCTGATTATATTTGAGCACGAGCTTGTTACTGAGATAGCAAGCGGGGAAGGTATTCGGAGCTTGCGGTAATTAGGGTATGAAGCAATAAGCTAATTTTTACTCGATCTGTCCGACGGATTACCACACATTTTATTATAACTTTTCAAAGGCTTAATTTTAGAAGGAAGCTTTTCTCTTTTCTAAAACTAATCAACGACTGAATACCGTTCAAAACAATTTCTTCAGGGTTACTTCAAACAAATACCACGAGTTAGAAAAGAATTGTATACTACGGTCACGTGGTAAGAGTTGTACAGCCACTAAAGTTCTTTCATGTAGCTTTAATAATAAACAAATCCTCGAACTAGTTTTGGACCGAGTTTTTACACTTTTCTCCCACATTGGAGGCTTAAAATTGCATTTATTAAATACGTAAGTGGCAGCCATTTATTAAGTCAATTGTTATCTCATGCATTCTTTTCAGGAATTCTTCTCTCTCTATATGGAGTTTGTACAAAATCAAGCGTGACTGTAACTAAACAACCCTCTTACTAATTGGAGGTATGTTCGACGCAATTCTGGATTCTGGATTACGATAGGAGGTGATTCTACAAAACACATACGGTGCATGTGCGTGTTTAGTTTGCAGCGCCCAGAAAGTATGCCCACGAGTAACCGCAGGTTTTTTTTTGATAGCCCTGTGCATAATAAAAGCGCCAGGCTACCCTGCTGTCACTGGAGATTCTGATAGTTTTGTTCTTTATGTTATCCATAAGAACTTTTCTAGCACTAAGCACAGTACCTGTTCCTTCCATTGCACATAAGAAAAATTAACCCTATCAGCAGATGACACTGCGTATCGCAGGAGACGACTAAGTGCAAGCTAGTCAGCTGCCACCATAGCCCTGAAGTTTGAAAGGCGAAGGGTGTCTCTGGAGTGACAAGATTTTAACTTCTATTTTTTACTGATTATGATTTATTTCTCGATTGTGACCATTTTGGATGGTTCTAGTGGCAGGATTCGTAAACTTTTTCCTTGTGTCACTTGGGCGAGTGGTCCTGAAATACTACCCTGGCGATTTAAATGCGTTTGAAAATTTAAGGCAGCGGCCAGTCGTGGGATTTGACATGATTGGTTCATATTATA